ATATCTACCAGTTTGAAAAATCTTTGTTGTCTGGCAATCAAAGGTGCCAGACTTCTGCGCCAAGATATAGATGACAAACTGTAAGGAACCATTGCTTATCACCCTTGTTTTGCCAGGAGCAGTACGTCTTCACTCATGATGCACTAGTGGAAGCCATACTCAGTAAAGAAACGGAGGTACCCGACAGCCATATCCATGCCTACGTCAACGCTCTCCTCATTCCTGGACCAACAGGCAAAACTAAGTTAGAAAAGCAATTCAAGGTGAGTTCTTTTGGGAGCCGCTTGGATGTCGGCTCAGAAATGATTGTTACTGCCTCTTCTCCTCGGAGCCTACAAGGCCGTGCAGATAGGTGGAGAGCAGAGGCTTTGTATGTGAACCATCCTCGTTCTTTGTAATAGGGAACAAAGCCACAAGGGAGCTTTTGTGGAGGACCGTGAGTTTGAGTCGCAAGAAGTAAATTTCTCAGAAGCCCTAGCCTCACTTTTATCCATGCAAAGCTGGTCTAGGGGAGGAGGGCACGCCGCATCACAGAAAGAACAGGCACGACTCATAATGCACACTAGATAAGTACTCCTTTCCCTTTGAAAGAAGCAGACCACTTACCAGGAGTGCTATGGCTCAGACTGTGTGTGCTCCTCTTTGGAAAACGCTGTGCCTCACTTGAAACCCCTAAACTAGAGTCGGCCACATCCGAACAAAAGCTTGTTCAGCCCCGATTTCTCCCCCTCACCCTGTCATGAGGCACTGAACGAGCGAGGAGCATGTGTCCTGCTCAGTCTTAGACCTCCCGCCACCCTGGCTCTCTGACTTGCAGGAATCAGTGAACAGAGAAGGCAGGTGTGGCCACAGCTCACGCTGGGACTGAGGGACCTGCAGAGCTGGGGTTCTCCAGAGGGCTGGGGGTTATCAGGTTCTGTCCCTTTGTCTGACCGTGCACCTTCTTAGGATCCCTGGAAGAAACTGGGCCAATTGCTGAGAAGGTTAAAATATCTAGGAACATTGTGGAGAAGATCGTGGAAGACCCCAGGAGAGTTAGCAAACCCATAGATTTGACCTTCAGCTGCCGCCATGTCAGCCACTGTGAGGTCCCTCTGGCCTCTTTCCTCCCCAGACACCACCTTCTGTGCTTGTAGAAGAGAGGGAGAACGATTCTGTGGTGATTGCTGAACTTGGACCTACAGTCAGGAGCATAACTTCTGTACTCATCCCGGCTTTTCTGAGGAATAAAGGGACAGGGTAGGGAAGGAAAGAAATGTGCAGGTGACGTGCCAGAAGCAGAGCACAAAGAAGCACAATCCATTCTGTGGTTTACTGAGGACCCTGCTGCACTGGGCTCCTAACCACAAGGCAAATGGTTCAAAGCCACCAGCTACTCTGCAGAAGAAAGATGAGGCTGTCTGCTCCTGTCAAGATCTGCAGTCTTGGAAACCCTAAGGGCCAGTGCTACTCTGTCTTGTAGGGTCCCGAGGAATCAGAGTTGACTTGAGGGCAATGCGTATGGATTTGGGGTATGTTTGTTTGAACACCAGCAAAGAAGTCACTTAGAAATTAGAAAAACATTTGGGAAGTCATTTGGCACTTGGTTTTCTGATCAGACTTCAAAATAATTACCATGGGGGTGAGGGGGGGTGATTAACCCACAAGACTTAGACTTTCCTTAGTTTGTATGGCCCTTGTTTAATGTTGTAGAATCTGTTTATCTTGCATTGCACATGGTGTAGATAGGCCAACAATTCGATGCGATCTTGTTTCTACCTCCCTAAGTGGGCGGTTCACCTCCAAACTGCAGTGTGGAGGAGATGGAGTATATTCCTCTCCAGAGGAAGCCAGGAGAACGATCCTTTCAACCCGGGAAGGCAAACTAGAGAGTCCTCGCCATCTTCCAATTCCTCTGGTGTAGACTGTAGATGTACTAGGGAAGCCTGTGTTTGCTAACATAAGTTCTAGTTCAAGAAATTCTTGGAACACTATCTCGGTTGGCTAGGCCTGTGTTTGTATGCATATGTGGTACGTCAAGGAAGTAACTTGTATTTTTTTCGGTGACCTCCCTCAGCTCCTGAGCCAATCGAACATCCAGCAGAGTGACTATTCAACAGCCCTGAAGCAATGCAACAGGGAGAAGAACAGAACTTCCGCCATCATCCCCGGTAGGCTGAATGTGGACCGAAGCTCCTTTTTTATAAAATAAAAGCCTATAGACAATTAACCAAGATATTTTCATACCTTGGTTATGGCTTAATATGCATAAGGAAATCAAGAACCCCTAAACCCTGGAACTCTCATTTTAAAAATGACCAGAAAGATCGCTTTAACATGCTGGGGGTGCAATGTGAGGGATGCAGCTGTGCTCTGCAGTTTGGGGCTGGGCCGGGGAACAGGGCTGCAATGTGGTTGTTTACAATGACTGTTCTGTGTTTAGTGGAAAAATCAAGGGTCGGCATCTCCTCCCTGAGCGGAGAAGGCACAGACTACATCAATGCCTCCTATATCATGGTAAGTCAGAAACTGCCTGCCAGCCCGTGTTACAAGAGCTAAACCCAGTGTGGCGGTGAGCAGTGCCACTGGTGGACAGAAGTCGTCCTGCATAGCTGCAGGCTCAGAGCCCACAGCAACCTCAAAAGAATAGCATCACTTGGTGTTTTCACGTGCTCTGGGACTGGAGAGGGCTCAAGTAAGATGAGTGAGTGCAGGAATCCAGGCTCATCCTCCAGGACTGATGAGGAGATTCAGAATACAGCCTTATTCATCCAGGGGGCTCCACTCTCATCTATCAAGGACAAGGCCTAAGCAGAGCCCTGGATAGAGCACCTTCAGCAAAGCCCCAACCTCACCAACATTACCACGTCAGTTTTCCACACAGTTCTGACCCTACAGACTGGGCTCACTAGGAGTCTTAGATTTCTCAAAATACAATCCTTCCCTTCCGTCAGTAGATGCTTCGTGCAAGGGATGAGTGACTGCTTGTCCAGCTTGTGGGTCTCCTTCATGGGTTGACCATTTCAGGTCAACCCATCACACAGTTTGGTTTCTTGTGAGATGGTCTTAATTCCCAGGCCAAGTGCACGCTGATTCAGGGAGAAAAACACTGAGAAGTATCCACGGGAGACAGGCCAGAATATGGTGGTGGCATCGAAAACACATTCCCATATATACTTTAAATAAGCCCCTGGGGGCTAGAAATGAGATCTGGGAGACCTCAGGGTGTTGAGGCTAGAAAAGCCATGTTTTTCGTAAGGCACGCCTTGGAAATCATGAGTATTCTGATGGTACTAGCTTCCCGGTTTCTGCCACAAAACGTATGAGGGGGTCTCCCCGTTCTTCCCCTAGAGAGCAGACAGGGTACACAGACACTGGCCTCCAGAACCTCTGGGGAGGTCTGACACTCCACACTCTGCCACTGGGACCAAGTGACCTGCGGAGAAGTGGGCAGTGAGGAAAAACTAACTGTCCTGTGCATTTCTGCTTGACAAATCCGCCCCCGGAGATAACAGCTGTGTGTATACTTGGGCACAACACTAGACTTCTTGAACCTCGGTTTGATCATCTATAAACTGGGATGCACAGTGCTTGTCTCAACACACTGTTGTGAGGAGTAAGTAGCTTACAGGAAAGACAAGAGTGCTGGACCAGGCATATAGGAAGGGCCCTGCCAACAGTAACTATAGTCATCACATTATTATTTACAGGCCTATCGGAAATGAGAAAGCCAACTTTGACTTGCCCCCAAAGGTAGACCCCATGTACCCCAGAGCCTTAAAGTCGATTCTGATCGATGGGACAGAGTAGAATTGTGCCACGGAATTTCCGGGTCTGCTACTAAAGCCTCATCTTTCTTCTTCAAAGCATCGGGTGCACTTCTAACTGTTGACCTGCGGCTAACAGCTCGAGGCATAACCTACTAGAGCAGACCCCCAGGCCTCCTTTGACTCAAGGCCCACTCATTATACATGTTTTCGCCAAATGTTTTCCTAGTCATGGTCGGGGCTGAACAGGTTTGGTCTTCTCTTTGGTTTTATAGGGTTATTATCAGAGTAACGAGTTCATCATCACCCAGCATCCTCTGCTGCACACCATCAACGATTTCTGGAGGATGATATGGGACCATAACGCCCAGCTCGTGGTCATGCTTCCTGATGGTCAGAACATGGTCAGTCCCTCAGCACTGTTCTTACTTATTCTGCTATTGCCAGGGCACAACGTGAACTCTAACTGAGATTCTAGGAAAAATAAGCCCCCACCCCCGCCTCAATGAAGATCCTCAACGAAGATGTTTTGGGAGACATTCTTTGTCTACTGGATTAAGGTAGCTGTGCAGTGTCCCATGTCTAAAAGTGTGGAGTGGCATTTTACAAATGACAGTAGGTTAAAACCAGCTTAAATTTAAATATTTTGTGACTGTACTCGGAAAATGAGACTAGGAACCGTGAATGAAGGCTGTTTATTTGCTTCTGTTCATATATATGAGGGAGTACTCAAAAAAAAAGGGAAAAGCTCCACTGGGTAGAGCTTTTGTAGTATTCATTTTTCCCACTAAATAAGCTTGGAGCAACTTCCTCTAAGTTAGCGCACCCAGCGGCATTGCCTGGGAAGGTTCTCCAGTCACAGTGCATTTTTTTCTTAAAAGCAGTTTCCCTCAAACCATGTTTTTTGTGATGGCTGATTTCAGAGAACAGTATGCGGCTGTGAGTTGTTTTTTTTTCCTGCTACAGAAACTTGCGATGTTGAACACAGCTTACAAGGACAGCGCTGTGGGAAAAACTCAAGTGTAGACTGGTTTTCTCATTTCAAAATAGGTGAAATGTTGATTGATGACAAACCTCGTTCTGGACATCAGTCAGCTTCCCAAATGGATGAAAATGTCCACTCCTAGTGCTTTCGGAGTACATTCGACCAGGTCGAACTGTGTATCAAACTTTCTCTTTAGAGGTTATGAAAAGATAGCCTAACAGTGGGTGACAAAAAGGGCCTGCTTTGTGGAAGACGGGGGCCTGGTTTTGCCACCACCATGACAATGCACCTGCTCACTCAGCCATCTTAGTGTGCCAGATTTGGGCAAAAACCAGCATGCCTCTCTTGCCCCATGCACCTTACTCACCGGACCTTGATTCCTGTGATCTCTTCTGTTTCTGGGAAGGAAGAGGGACATGAAAGGACAGCAATTTAACAACACAGAGGAGGTGAAGACAGAAATGAGGAAGGGGCTGTCGGTCATCCAAACAGAGGATTTTGAAAAATGTTTCCAAGAATGGAATCACAGATTGACAAATATATTGAGTGTCATGGAGAGTAATTTGATGGTGATAGGTTGTTTGGGGAAAGATTTAAATATATAGCTTTGGAAAAAAAAAATCCGGGTTTTTTTGGTACCCCCTCATATAGCTGACACTCTTTCTGTTTTAAAAGTTTTATTGGCATATAATTCACATATCGTACAAGTCAGTAATTCAATCATATCAGGAAGTGTTGTGCAATCACCACATTTAAATTTAGAACTATTTCTACTTTAACTCACTGTTAATATCTCCTCCTTCCCGTCCCCCCCCCCAACCTCCCCTGTTATACCCCAATCTTTGTTTTTTTTTAAACCATTTTATTGGGACCTCATACAGCTCTTATTACAGTACAGACATTGTGTCAATCTTTGTTTTTAACCCTCCAGGCAGAAGATGAATTTGTTTATTGGCCAAATAAAGATGAGCCTATAAATTGTGAGAGCTTTAAGGTCACTCTTATGTCTGAAGAACATAAATGTCTCTCTAATGAGGAAAAACTTATCATTCAAGATTTTATCTTGGAAGCTACACAGGTATGGACATCAATTGAAATTGAAATTTTAAATGGTAAAATTCTCATCGTAAACACATGGTCATTAGATGTTGACTTAAAGATGTTTTTCTAGAACTAAGAATAATCTGATTTATTACAAATTAAGATCAATTGTCCAAGTAACCGACACTCACTTATCACTTTTGTTTTCAAAACTTTATAGAATCATTAAACCATTAGTCAACACTAAAGTACACTGTTACTGATTTCTACCAAGGAAATGTTTTAAAATGCTCTTGTACTGCCAAACAGTTGTTGACTGAACTTAAGTTGAAGACAAACACACATGTCATTAATCCTAGTACTCATGTGTGTCCGAAAGCGCTTCTCCTACATACAGTGGGGGAAATGTCACTTACCCAAACTTAGTAAGTGAAGACATGCTTGGAGGTCAATGAACTAGGACTGTTTCACTAACTCTTAGTTACCATCAAGCATCAATCTGAATTCTGTGTCAATCACTACTTAGGGTTATAGTAAACCCTACCAGGGACTACTAGTATTGGCCAACACGTGGAATTTAGAGCACCTTCTCCAGTAGACACCAATCAAGTCATATTTCAGGTGACTTCAGTGTTTCACTCCACCGCACTCTAATTGGGAACTGGCCAACCATTTATGGTAGATAAGAAGACTCACTGCTCTGTAAAAGGTTGAAATGACCCAAGTAAAAAAACTTGGTCCTGCAAATTAATGAATTATATAAATAATATAGCAATAAAAGACTTTCCTACTTGATTAAAGAACACAAATAATGAATATGCTGATTCTAATTCCATAGATGAACTATATACAGACCTTCAGAGAAAAACTTGTATTTTATTGTTTATAAAATGAGGTATTGGAGCTGCAAGGCTCCCAAGATCCCTGTGAGCCCTTAATATCCCGTGCTCCAATCCAGCTGTGATTGCTCCCCAAACACTTCAGACCACCCTCCTGACCAGTGCTTTCTGCAACTGTGCCGTGCAAGCTTACCTTTCTAGAACTTGAACCTGACTGTTGTTTATATTTGAAGAGGTCTATGCTGTCTTAAAAGGAGCTCTGAGGGCAGTGAAAGTTAGGTGTGAGGCTGAAAGTTAGGTGGTCGGTTGGCGCATGCCATCTGGTTTTAGTACTGTCCCTACTGTTATGCCTCAATTTCCCCACGATCCCACTCAAGATAAGCTCCCACTGACCAGGATGGAGGCTCCACCAGAAACGTCTCTTTTTCTCCTCCTTACAGGATGATTACGTACTTGAAGTGAGGCATTTTCAGTGTCCCAAATGGCCCAATCCGGACAGCCCCATTAGTAAAACGTTTGAACTCCTAAGTGTCATCAAGGAAGAAGCCGCCAACAGGGATGGGCCCACCATCGTCCATGATGAGTAAGTCCGGGCTTTCAGCCCTTCACCCTGAGCGTTCTCTAGGTGTGTGGGTGGGTGGGCTATGTGCCAACCAGACGCTTTGAGCCACTTGTGATGAGTCTTCCTGTTGGGGCATCTGCTGCCCTGTGCAAGGTTAACAAACCCCGGTCTTTCCCCTTCACTTGGAAGCCGGAGAAGGAGGAGTACATGATGCCAAGTCCGCTCTGCCATTTTATCCCAGGGGCACTGTTTGATGAGTCGGTGTTTTAGCGCTTGAGTTTTTTTTACAGATGCTACCCACAGAGAAGGAGCCTTCGTGGTTCAGTGGTTAAGCACTTGAGGCCCAACTGAAAGGACAGCGGTTCAAATCCACTAGTCATTCTGTGAGAGAACAAGGTGGCCATCTGCTTCCTTAAAGATGCAGAGCATTGGGGGAGTTCTGCTCAGCCCTGTAGCATGATCATGAGTCAGCATCCACTCAACTGCAAAGGGTTTCATTTGTAAACAGTGGGAGGCCCCTAAGAGGAGCAAACGGTTTGTGCTACTAACCTAAAGGTGGACAGTTCCAACCCACCCAGAAATAGTGCTGAAGAAAGGCCTGACACTCAGCTCCCAGAAAGATAGCAGTCAAGAAAAAATTATTTCTGCGTCCACAGAAAAAGATTACAGCCAAGATGATATCTAACCATGGGGCCCCCAGGAGTCAGAATCGAGTCCATGCACTGGGGTTTGAGTCTCCCTAACTACACGGGGGCAAGTAGCAGCCATTGGTTTCTTGGTTCAGAAGCATAATTGATTGTTAAAGTTTATCAGAAACCAGGAAATTTAAGCCAGGTCTTTCCTAGCTTATGTTACAAGCCCATGAAAACGTCTGTACTAAAATGAAGGAGCCCTGGTGGTGGAATACATTACTCATCGGGCTGCTAACTGAAAGGTCAGCGCTGTAAGCCACTCCTTGGGAGAAAGATGAGGCTTTCTACCCCTATAAAGATGGACAGCCTTGGGAACCAGCACTATTTTACCCTATCTGGTCGCTATGAAGCAGAATTGACCCGATGGCACTAAAATGACAGCTTATCTATGACTGTGTATAGTCTGTCTAATATTAAAATATATTTCAAAGTATACACCTTGATACATAAAAATGATCTCGCAAGTTACATAGCTCCCATATGTATACACATTCACACAACACGTGTTTATGTCATATATAATAGATAAGAGAGCTTCCAGAAGTTCCTGGATCTATTATGGTTTCACTCATTTTTTCCCTTGAACTTTCTGAAGCCCTCATATCAAATGATCTGACTGGGGTTCTCCTTAATTTTTACACCTGCACACCTACCTGTAAGGTTGGGGAAGATTGTGAGGATGGCGCAGGGCAGGCAGCACTTCATTCAGAAGAACATAGGATTGCTCTGAGTCGGAACTGACCCACCAGCACCTCACTATATCTGTAAGGGGGGCTTCAAAAAGCTGGTGGAAATTTTTCATTATTTTTTGCTTCCAATTTTCCAAGAACTTTTTTTTATTTGTAATTTTAGAAGATCATTTTATTGGGGGCTCTTAAAACAATCCATACATCAGTTGGATCAAGCATATTTGTACATATGTTGCCATCATCATTTTCATAACATTCACTTTCTATTGAGCCCTTGGTATCAGCTCCTCTTTTATCCCTCCCTCCCCCCACCCCGTACCCTCCACGAACTTTATAAAAAACTTTTTGTGACATGAGTGAAGGATTACAGAGCAGATCCATTTTTTATTCCACGCATCCTACACATTTCATCTCATGCGTGACCGTCCCTCCCACGTGCCCTCACTTGTCCCACTTCAACCCTGTGTGTCCCGTTTCCAGTCCTCCTCTCCTAAACCTTACCGTTGTCCTTGGCTAAGTGCTGCTCGTTTGATCTCAAATAATTGATGATTATGAGGCGTGCATGCCTCGCTCGTGCTACTGTGTCCCTCGTAGACTGATGTGTAGTTTGGTTGAAAATTGACCCATGGGGGTAAACTCAGGCCTATAGTCTCAGGGATTGAACCAATCGTTCTCTGATCAGTAAACTTGGTCTTCAGGAGTTTTTAAAGTTTTGCTCCATATCTTTTTTGCACCCTACCCGGGATTGTCTATGTGACCCCATTCAGAGCAGTTGCTGGTGGTAGCAGGCCTCATGTCGTTCCTCAGTCTCAGGCTGGAGGAGACTGATGTCTTTCTGGGTCACTAGCCCATCGGACTGATTTTCATTTTCTTCACTCCGCTTTCCTCCAGACAAGGAGAAACCAATCACAACACTTTAGAGCCACGGTTCTCAACCTGTGGGTCACGACCCTTTTGGGGGGTTCTAACGACCCTTTCACAAGGGTCGCCTGATTCATAACAGTAACCAAATTACAGTGATCAAGTCACAACAAAAATAATTTAATGGTTGGGGGGGCACCACAACATGAGGAACTGTATGAAAGGGTCGCGGCATTCGGAAGGTTGAGAACCACTGCTTTAGAGGTTTTAAGGCCTCCGTCGCTGCTCATCAAAGTAGGGTATAGAACATTGTCTTTGGGGCCTATGTGTTACTAATTAACATTGATACCACAGAGAGACTGTCCTTCTGAGCCCCCAGGCCCTAGGACTCCTTCCCTTAAGGTGTTTGAATATGTCTAAGAAGCTCTCATAAAACTTCTCCCCTTTGCTCTACCACATTCATGGGTATAGTTGCTCTAAAAGTAAATACACATGGACAAAGGCCCTCTGTCCAACCTACATATATCCACGAGTAGACGCCCTCTCTCACTCTCACACGCCTTGGGCCTGCTTGTCTGTCTAGCCATCTACTCGCAGATCATCAACCCTGCAGGATCGTGTGTGTATACAAACAACAGTGTTTACCTCAGTTGCTTTCAACTCTTGGGCTTCTCCCACTTTTATGCCAATGTCCTTATTGTACACAGCCTTTACTTCACCCAAGGTGACACGTTCCACAATACATAGATAAGACATCATATACACATACATATACATGTGTCTGATTTTAATTTTATTCTCTTTTCTCCAGACAAGGAGAAATCAATTGCTGCACCTTAGAGCATATGTGTGTGTGTGTGTGTGTGTGTGTGTGTGTGTGTGTGTATGCATATATATATACACATACATGCTATGGTCTCAGGGAGTCCTGTTAGTCAGATCATTTTGTTTATGGGCTCTCGTAGTACTTTGCACATGTTGTCAGGAGAGACCAGTCCCTGGAAAAGGACAGCATGCTTGGTAGAGGGGCAGCAAATAAAGAGGAAGTCCCTGGACAAAATGGATTGACCCAGGGCTGCAGCAACGGGCTCGAACAGAAGGACAATTGTGAGGATGGCGCAGCCCCAGGCAGTGTTTCTGTCTGTTGTCCGCTGGAGCACTGAGCTGGAATCGTGGCCTCTAGCAACAACAAAAAGCAAATATTCTATTTCTGGAAAGTATCCAGTTACTAATAGTCCGAACATTTGACAATATTTCAGCATAAACCACCTGCCGTGCACAGTGAGAGAGAGTAGTTTAAAGTGTTTTCACGGCAAAGCTGCCAAGGACAGACCCTCGGAGTTCCCATCTGAATGAAGTATTTGTCCCTTCTCTTTGCTACTAGGCACGGAGGAGTGACAGCAGGGACTTTCTGTGCCCTGACGACCCTTATGCACCAACTAGAACAAGAAAATTCCACGGATGTTTACCAAGTAGCCAAGATGATCAACTTAATGAGGCCGGGAGTCTTCGCTGACCTTGTAAGTAATTAAGATCATTTTCCTTGTTAGAACTACTTGCTTTTTCAAGACTCCTTTTGTGTCTTATGTCAAGAAAGATTGTCCTGAGTGAAAACAATATTATATGGTTTTCAAGGTGAAAGGACAAGGTGTTCAATTAACCTTCCATAGAACCAGAACCAAGAAGAAAATTCAGTACTGAAAAATATCTTCCATAAAAGCACCATCGGGTCTGACTTTCCCGGTACAACAGAGTATTTTCCCCAGGCTTTGTGTTCCACCTTGCCTCAAAGAATATGAGGAGACTTCAGGAAATGGAATTAACAGACGATGGAATCTTTCCATGAGCATTGTGAAGCCTCTTGTGGAGGTGGTTCCCGGGTTATGATCAAGTTCTGTTCGAAGTGTGTCTTTAAGTTGCATTTGAAGATAACTCAAAAGGATGCACGTGGTTCTTATTTAACCTCACTTCAGCTGCTAACCCGAAAGTCCTCGGGCCCAGCCCCCCAGCCACTCTACAGGAGAAAGGCAAGGCCCTCGGCTCCTGTGTGGAGCTGCCGTGCTAGGGCCGTTCCAGTCCTTCCTATAGAGCTGCTAGGAGCCACAATCGACTTCATGTCCCTGGGTTTGAATTTCTTGTTTTGGGTGCAAAAAAAAAAAAAAAAGAACTTGAAGACTTCGGTAATTTAAAATCTACACAGAGGAGGCCCCATTGAGAGGAGGAAGGGGTGAGTCCACACTCAACATCGTCTTGAGCAATGGCATTGAGGCCCTCTTCCTGCATGACGCATACTGTGGAATACTCCTCCCCAGGGGGCAATGAAGGAAAACACCATCTTGCTCCCGGCAGGTGCCCGCCATGGCCCAGGAGGATGAGGCCCCTCTTAAAACCTGTCACGTTTTCCTCTTCCAAGAGGGATGCAGTTTCCTGGCAGAGATGTATGACCCACCCAGATGTAGATTCAGTGAATTTTAGCTCTGTAATCTAAACATTGAAAATTCCTAGACTGAAAAAAGTAAACATACCCAAAATAAACAAAATCTACACATGAAGCAAATGATTAGGTGATTAGGAGGCAGCATTTGTTGCTAAGAGAGTTTTACCCAATCATTTCAAAGGCAGGGCGTAACATTCAAGGGCAAGTTCAGGGCATAACATTCAAGGACAAGGGCAAGTTGTCACCCTTAGGACACTTGTAACCCAGGGACTCCCTGCGCTCCGACAGCAAACCTCACAGGCTTGACTTAAGGGTTGGAATCATTCACTTTTTCCCTCAGCCAAATCCAATTTCTGAATTGAACCATAGGCTAATCCTTGGAGACTGAAAACAGAGAAGTCAGTGTGTATTCAAGGAAGGAGCACAGCACATCTGGATGGAGAAGTCCGAAATCTGACTGTAATTTGTAAAGTTTTACTACAGTAACAGGGGTTGGAAGGACAGTAGGAAACTTAAGTGGCACACATTTGCCAATGGCAGAAGCTTGGGTGAATGTTGAAGCCATGGGGCCCCCTTCAGCTCCATTTGTATGTGTGTACACTGGTCTTAGGAAGTCCAACCTCAAAGTGCCAGCCCCTACCTGACAGCTGGAGTCAAGGTGATCTTACACACATCCACTTCCTCATGAAAGTGTCCACGGTACCAGGTGAGTTAAATCAAGCTTGTTCCGTCCGTGGGACATGGCTTTCCCGAGAAGGGACTTGAATTCAAGTTTCAGGAACGCACTTAATGTTCATGTTCACGTGTTCCCGCCATGATTGTCCTCTGCTCCAATGTTAGGGACTGGCTCCTATTCTTTGAAACTGCCACCCTCTCATCCTGGAGGTGGCACCTGTGATATAAATTAAACCCTGCTTCCTTCTGCCAAGCCTCGACGGTGAGGGCACACACTCAGCTCTGCTCACAGTACAGGGTAGAGACCAGTGAGGCTGGCCGGGTGTGGAGAAAGCTTGGCCAACTCTGCGTCTTGTGCAAGGCCTTGAAGCAGCCGTGACATTCTCCCTGGACTAACTCTACGAGGACATAACCACTGAGGAATGCGCAATGAGGCACTGGCTTAGGAGTGGGTCACAAAACTCAAAAGAGTTTTCACCCAAGATGAAAATTCAGCACTTCTACACCTTCCGATTCCGCAAAGTTCATGGATTAAAAATGAGCCCTTATTGCAAAAAGCCCGGATGGTGTGACAGTGAAATGGTCAGCTGCGAACCAACAGGTTGACAGTTCAAATCCACCCTGCGGCTTCCAGGAGAGGCTTACCTGGCAATCTATTTCTGTACAGGTTACTTCTAAGAAAACCCCTTGGGGCAATTCTCCTGTATCACGCGGGTGGCTGTGAGAGGCAAAAGCAACTCAATGCTACCTGACAACTATCTTATTGCCAACGTGTCCCTTTTTGACATCATGGTGCTCCCCTTCACCACCTGTCTGTCCTCTGTCCTCCAGGAGCAGTACCAGTTTCTCTACAAAGCAGTCCTCAGCCTGGTGAGCACAAGGCAGGAAGAGAACCCCTCGGCCTCCCTGGACAGTAACGGCACCGCGCTACCTGATGGGAATATTGCGGAGAGCTTGGAATCTTTAGTCTAACCCAGAAACGGGGTCGAAGGAGGCCACATCAGAACGCTGTGTTTTTCCTCTTTTTAAATGAGATGGGAGAATCGGTTCAGTTCTTCTGTTACCTGTTTTATTTCCTGTCACCCGACAGTAACTTTCATGGCATCAGAGATGAGCTGCCAAATTTACATCATTAACAATGTGTGCCTTTTTTTTTTTTTTTGAAAGACTTCTCATAATTCACTTACTATGTTTGAACTAAAATGATTGAATTTTGGAGTATTTATAAGACTGGAATTGTGGTCATTTTGTTTTTCTGTATTGATTCTAACAGAAAAAATTCAGTTCATAGAGAGTAGGACTTCCCAATGATGGGAAACATGTTTTCGTGTCAAATTTTTATCTGTATTTGTAGCAACCATCAAGTTTTCTAGAAATAACAAACTTTTAATATAGTAGCCCCTCCAACACTCTGTTCTCTATGATATTCGGCATTTTACAGCTACAGCATTTACTGAAAAGTAGAAATAATCTGATACTGACTGTAAATAATTCTCTAGTGTCTCCACGGACAAAATTTATATTTATAATTGTAGATTTCTATATTTTACTACCGAGTCAGTTTTCTAGTTCTGTGTGACTGTTTTGTTTTAATGAAGTAGTATAGGGTCAGGCCTTACTCTACAAATCTTCTGGATATTGTATCGTGTTATCTAAGTCATTAACTCTAAGCATGTAATTTTAACTTTTGTGGAAAACAAATACCTTGGTTTTGAAAGATGTTTTTATGAGAATAACACCTCACCCAACATCGTCTAAGTGCTTTTTATCCCAAGGCATCGCAAAAATAAATATAAATATTGCCAATCATTTTCCATTTGCTGATGACCTGTTGGACTGGGGCACGTAGAGCCATAAAATGGAGGTGTGGGTCTTGTCGGGTGCTGGCAGCTGAGAAAAGGCCAATGGGATGGAGTAGTGGTTGGAGCCGTGCTCTCAACCTGCACTGAGGGACCCAGGACAGACGCCGTAAGAATTATAAACGTCGAGGAAAACACAGCAACCTTTCTTGATGTGACATAAACAACGGTTGTACTCAGCCACAGTTATTAAATTATTGCGGCCTCATTTAGTTTCCGAGTTCTGCTATATAACACAAATACCACCCAGGAAACATTTTTTTTAACTGCCATTGAAATCAATTCTGTAGACCCTGTTGAACAAAGTAGACTGTACATTTTTACAGAAGCAGCCAGCCTCATCTTTCTCCCAAAATGCCACGCATGGGTGGCTTGAAGAACAGATATGTATTTTCCCCCAGTTCGAGAGTCTAAGAGTCCAAAGCAGTCTCAGGTGTCTCAGTGCCTTCCATGTCTGCAGCCCCAAGGGCTCCTTTGTCCCTTGTGCTCCTGGGCCTGTAGGGGATCTCTCAAGGACCCCTACCTGCCTAAGAACAAGGTGCTGCCTGTCCTGCACGAGCCTCACAATTGTTCTTTGGTTGGAGCCCTTTGTTGCAGCCGCTGCGTCCATCCATCTTGTTGAGGGCCTTCCTCTTTGTCACTCCCCTCTCCCTTACCAAGCATGATGTCCTTCTCCAGGGTTGGTTTCACCTGATTACATGTCCAAAATATGTGAGGCAAGCTCCGCCATCTTTACTTCCAGGGAGCATTCTGACTGTATTTTTCAAAGACATACTTGTTTATTCTTTTGACAGTCTATGGTATTTTTCAATATTTTTCATCAGTACCATAATTTAAACGCCTCGACACACTTCTTCATTCTTCCTTATTCAATGCATATAGTGTGCATGAAAATATAAGAGCATGGCAAAAGAAAATCTGTTTTCCAAACAGGATCACATCCACGGTACAAGGGCCAGCAATTCAATACAAATTTAGGGGGGAAACTAAATTCAATAGGTAGCAAGACATACATAGTAAATAAACCCATTGGGAATTTCTTTTGGTTTAGTAGAGCCATAGAAATGTTACGGAGAATTTTAAACACTGTTGAGATTTACAAGGATAGGCCAGCTACAAACTGCAATACATGAGTTGTTGACTTGTACAGATTAAACTCATAAGTAACTGGAAACTAATTACATGAACAATAGGATTGAAGAAAGGGCAAAACTATCGATAATACTCATTCACAAAGGCCTACCAGATTAATATATGTCTTAAGAAATCAAGGAAGGCATTAATGTAAATATATGCTAGTCCTGAGCCACTAGTCATTGTGGTGCAGAACACAAAACCCAAACAGGAAAAGCAGTGGCCGAGCACCAGTGTGTTATGTGGAAGAGACTTTTCTTTCCTCTGGTCAGGGCTTCATCTGGTCTCGTGACCAAAGTGACTGAGCCCCATTTAGTCTTGTGCTGAATTTTTATAGGGCTCCGGGACAGAGAGCAACAGCATTACTTTCTCATCAGTGGTTCCTAGCATAGTGGTTTTTCAGAAGTCAAAGAAGTGAGACCACTGTAAATTTCTGGAGACTGAAACTCACCAGGACTATCAGGCTTCAGACTATTGTGCCTGTCTCAATTGGGCACTCTCAAATTCTTAATTGTATACCATTAGCTAAATTAATGACACTGTCAATAGCATACCCTTAGGCCCTAGGGGAATTTATAATGCTTTCTATCATAAAATGATAATGATGTCTCAAACTTGAAGCGGAGAGATATATAACCATAGACATATAAATGGCTCTGGGGATCACACTTCAATCCAGCCTCAATCCAAGAACATTAGTTCTTACGGCATGACCCTACAGGATGCTCCCGCCCATGAAGAGATCACTGAAGATATGGCTGCTAGGGTCAAGTTTGATGAAGAAAGCAGATGGTACTCTACTATCAGAAAGAATAGCGTCTGGGATTTCAAAGGCTTGTCTTTAAACAGACAGTCATCCATGTGAGCTGTCTGTCAACTAAGTCCACATGGAAGAAGCACACCAGCCTTTGTGATCCAAGGATTGTAAATAATAAAATCCAAATCCAAAGGATTTCTTTCTTTTCGATTGAGGGTTTCTATGTTTTGTCTAGTTGTTCTTGTTGTACTTTTAAAATCACCTGTTTGCCTTATATATTATTTTCTATAGATGAAATCCAGGATAGGTAAATCTATAGAGACAGTAACTGGATTAATAATTACCTAGGGGCATGGCAGAGGAGGTTCTGGTGGGAATATGGTGCTAACAAGGAGTGCAAGAAGAAAATGTTCTGAAATCGATTATGGTGATGATTGCACAACTCTTCTTAATATAACTGAATAATTAAATTGTATGATACATAAAGTATATGCCAATAAAACTATTTTTTTAATGTTACTGAGAAACTAAGAGCACCATGAACAAGAAGTATTATGAAACTTTGGTTTAGAATTGTGTTAGGCAGGGTTCTCTAGAGAAACAAAACCAGTACCTTTAGATAGATTGATAGATAGAGAAACAAAACCAGTACCTTTAGATAGAAAGATTTATACAGCAAGAAAAATATAACAGCTAATTAGTCTACACAGCAGTACAGAGGGCTCAGGTCAATTCACTTTGGTGGAACAGTTAATATACTGAAAGTCCTTCAACTCAAGTGGGCTGCCAAGCCAAGGTCAAGGAAACAGACAGTGGAGTCTTTCCTCTCGCAAGACAGAGTCTGCCCACAGGCAGCGGACAGTAGGTGGGTCAGCAAAAGTCAGTAGCACAGGAGCTTAGTGAAGTTGGGCTCTTGAACTCAAGAGCTGCATGACAACAGGATCCACCAAGCTCAAGCGATGTAAACACCAGCAGTGTGGTGAAGGAGGTCTCAAAGGAGCCTCAAGCTCTAGCGACATGATCCATGTGGGTTGGCCCACAGGTAGTGAAGCCCACTAGCACAAGCAACTAGCACCAATCACCAGCCAGGAAGAATCCTTAAGAGAAGGCCAAGGCCATAAGGCGGGATCACCAGGCTGTGGCCCATTGCAGGCTAAGCTCCACCCCTCATTCTTATTTAACAAGTTGATATGAAAGTGTGTATCTATCACAAGAATCAAGCCAGGAGTTAGATTAGAAGGAAGCAGATTTGCCCATCAGGGATGCCATCAAAAGCCAAGGTGTCAAGTTGAGCATGAGGTAGGAAGTCCAGACCAGAAGGACTTAAATCCCAGGGCGGAACAAAGAAGGGGGTTCTTGTGTTAAAGCAAATTGTCACGAACTAAAGCTGGCTAGAGGCAAAGCTCAGAAGACCCCAGGGGAATCATGGTACTAAGTGGGACTTCGATCCTTGGTGCAGCCCCTGACAGCCAGAAACGTTCTGTTTACGTAGCCTGAGGAGGAGGATGGGACTGATCCTCTTGCGTCCTCAGCTCAAGTCCCAGAGGAGAAGCCAAGAAGATTTTGTTTACACTCAACTTCTTACCATCAAGCGGATTCCAAGTCACAGTGGATGACCCTAGAGGATGCACAGAACTGCCCCTGTGGGTTTCCCAGACGGTAACTCATCTTTCTCAAGCTGCTGATCTTGACGTTAGCAGCGCAACGTGTAACCCACGACACCGCCACCAACTTGGTTCGTTTATATCCGTGGTTCTCCCAAGTGTGCCCTCTAGACCGTACCCTCGACAAAACTGGCGGAACGGGCTAGAAATGCACATCGGCCCGAGTGGAGCAGAAACTCGGGAGGCCAGGGTTGCGACCTGAAACCCACTACAGTGTGAGAACCACCACCATGCAGAAGGATCCTCCGGGTGATGCAACGGGCAGTGTGCGTAGCGCCTACTTAAAAAGTTGGAATTTCAAGTCCACCCAAAGGTGCCTTGGGAGAGGGGCCTGGTGATCTCCTTCTGAAACCTCAACTCTTGAAAACGCTTCGGAGCAGAGGAGTCACAACAAAGCAGAGTCAAGACAAGGACAAGCCATTCGTGGTTTGGGGTTGATTTCACACAGACACTTGGGAGCACTCAGTGTCTGGAGCTGTATCAGGGCATGTTCACCACATCCTTCCAATGGGGCGAAAATTAAGTTCATTTTGTCCTCTTTTCTTTTAAAGCGATGGCCATGGAGAGATGTGAAGTAGGACAAGGTTGAGGGGGGGGGGGGGGCGGTCTGACAAAGAGTAGAGCATCGTAGGTTCCCAGATGCTGGTGAACACCACCTGCGGGGCGGTTACAGAATGAAGGAACGTGCTTTCGCCCTCCCAGTGAGAAGGACCGAAGGTGCATTTTCAATGGCTCCGTCTCTTTTCTATATTTTTCAGTCTCTTTTCTAAGGCTTGCTCAGAGTCCCTTTGCTTTAGCTTTCTTCCCTCATGACCCACAATTTCTCATCACAAGCCAACTTCAACTACACGGTATCTTAATGATTTTGTCAATTGTCTCCTTAGCCTTTGTGTCAGAACAAACAAAGAGCTTTTGAAGAATAAATACAAAATGTGTTTTTCCTTTTGTGGTCATTATTAGTGAGCTACTTTGCTGAATATCCCCACACACACACTTCCCAGAAGTAATTATGTGAGTAACATGTCTGATAAGTAAGCACTTTCGGGCAGTTTCTAATAGCTATAACTTACATTCATTGTAAAAGAGAATTCCTAATCTCTGGATTCATAAATCTAAAATAGAAATCAGTTCTGAGAGAAAGTAGCAATCAATGTAATCAAGTAAATAGGTCTTTATGGTTTTTCACCCCAATTACGTCCATCCATTACCAAAATGTTACTCATCCTTTTATTGTATCCACAGTTTTTACCCACAATTATTTTATGTCATAATTGAGGGAGGTGGTACTTACATAATCTGGTGTCACTTTGGGATTTGGGAGGATTAAGTGTGAAGGGGTGGAGTCTAGTCTGTCAATCGGATCATAGCCAATGAGGCCTCTGTGTGGGCATGGCC